ATTTTTCTAGAGGAAAAATTGATTCTACGCTGTTTATAAAGAAAGTAAAAGAACATATCTTATTGGTCCAGGTATATGTTGATGATATTATTTTTGGATCAACTGATAATTCGTTGTGTGTAGAATTTGCTAAGATAATGCAGGGAGAGTTTGAAATGTCTATGATGGGAGAATTGACATTCTTCCTTAGACTTCAAATCAAGCAACTTAAAGATGACATTTTCATCTCTCAAACCAAATACTGAAAAGAGATACTTAAAAAGTTTGGAATGGACACCTCAAAGGAAGCTAACACACCCATGGAAACTTCATGCTATTTAGACAAGGATGATTCATGTTTGGAAATTAATCAATCTATGTATAGAGGTATGATAGGTTCACTGTTATACTTAACTGCAAGTAGACCTGATATTATGCATTCTGTCTGTGTGTGTGCTAGATTTCAGGCTTGTCCAAAAGAATCTCACATAATTGCAGTAAAACACATTTTAAAATATTTAAAAGGAACTACTGGTTTTGATTTATGGTATCCATCTGATGCTTGTACTAGTTTAATAGGATATTCTGATGCTGATTATGGTGGATGCAAAATTGATAGAAAGAGTACTAGTGAGACATGTCATTTGTTAGGTTCATCCTTAGTATCTTGAGAAACAGGCATGTGTTGCTTTATCTACCACTGAAGCTGAATATATTGCAGTTGGTAATTGTTGTGCTCAAATTTTGTGGATGAAACAACAACTAGAAGATTAAAATATATTTCTAAATGACATTCCTTTGATGTGTGATAATACGAGTGCAATCAATCTTACTAAGAATCCAGTAATGCACTCTAGGACTAAGCATATAGAAATTAGACATCATTTATTAAGAGATCATATAAACAAAGGAAACTGTAAAATAGAGTATGTTGATACAAAGCACCAATTAGCAGATATTTTTACTAAGCCTCTTCCTAAGGATAGATTCTATGATCTTAGAAGAGACTTAGGGATATTATAAATAGCTTAAATTCTGCTTAATTAGAATGTTTTTGGATGGTTGTAATGTTATAATTCATTATGAAGGATGTTCATAGATTATCATGTGTATAAACCTCAAAAATTTGATGAACTCTCTGGAATAATCGATTATTTGCACCCAAAACATGACATTTCTCTCTGGATCAATCGATTAACTCGCCCATTAATCGATTAAACTCAGTGTTAATCGATTAACAGCTCAAATTAATCGATTAAATGGTTCTGGTACTGGTTTAATCGATTAAATCAAGTTTTAATCGATTAAACCTGACAAGTTTTGGTTCCTAGCCGTTGCCAACGACTCTCTTGACCCTTATTCACTTCCATATGACCGTTGGAGATGCTTGGTTATAAATAGGGACCTCCATTTCACTTCTACTCACTTCTATCTCTTGCATTCAAGCTTTCTTGCCTTATTCTATCACTCTTGCCTTCTTTTAACATCACTTGTCCTCCTAAATCTTCTTGTTACTCTTCTAATCCTACAATGGCTTCATCTTCTCGTGCTAAAATTCCCACCAGAAGAAGATCTGCACCCTCATCTCATCCCCGTCCTAATTCTGTAAAAGGATGGATCTCTGATGCAGAAGGCCGACAAGAATTTCTGTCTTATTGGAAGGAATGTGGTATTATTTCTCCTAAGTTCCTTATTGGTGATCAGTTCATCAATAGGGGATTCAACTTTCCTAATCTCCTTGAAATTCAAGGAGTTCTCCCTTTCATCCAAATGCAAGGTACGTATTATCCTGACTTAGTTAGGGTATTTTACTCTAGGTTCAAATTTAGAGATCAAATTGCTACCTCTCGTGTAAAAGGGGTAACAATTATTCTTAATGATGATATTTGGGAGAACGTTGCTCATTTTCCTATAAGAGAAGATGCTATTAACGTGTTTGGTGAGTTAGATGATTTTGACAGGATCATGGCTTACCGCTCTTTTCTGCGAAACCCTTCCATGGAAATAGGGCGTCTCCTTCTAGCTGGACCTTTGAAGAAGGAGGAACGCATGATTTTGCACTTACTTGTCTGGATCCTATGTCCTCGGGCTATGAATCATGCTCAATGTTCTTCAATTGATCTTCGTATTATTCATGTCATAATGAATAATAAGCCTTTAGATTGGGGCATTCTTGTCACCATGACTATGTTAAAAGTCAAACGTCATCCCACCTTCAAAATTCCATATGCTCTCCTCGTCTCTCGCATTCTTGAATACAAAGGAGTAAATGTCGAAGGTGAACAAACAGTAAGAACGAATAATTTAAACCGCATGCTGGACAACACATTGACCCAACTCCAAATGGTGCGTGTCAACAATATTTATGTTCACAAGGATGACGTTCCAAACAAAGGTGACAATAATGAAGATTCTGATGAAGATATGTCTCCTGTTGTTGATTTTCCTTCTGATCAAATCCAAAGTGTTGGAACTTCCTCTGCTCATCATGAAACCTGTCAATCTATGGAAGATATGTTATCTGATATGAATCAGAGGATGCAGGCATTCTTCACTCTTTCTGGAGTACGACATGAGGAAATAATTCGCCGTATATCTGATGTAGATGATAAAGTGTGTTATTTAGAAAATAGATTTGATGCACACTTTCATAGTGATGATAGTGAATAATTTTAAATTTGTTTTTATTTTCTTTTGTGTTGTAATGTAATTTCACTTATGAAATAAAGTTTAGTATTCTTTTATTGCTTTGATTGAGGGGGAGTTATCTCTAAGTTATGCATATGTTGAGGGGGAGCTCTTAATTTTTTATTATAATCAAAATATGGGGAGAAATATTTAAAGCCTCTTATGATTGAATTTAAATATTATCTGGTATGTTTAATGTGTTTGTTAGTATGACAGATAAAACAGGTTATTACAAGGCTTTAAAAGAAAATTTTGATCATCATCAAAAAGGGAGAGATTGTTGAACATACAAGGACTTGATGTTAAACTTACATGGACATGAAGCTTGTTGATTTTGATGATGATTCAAGAACAAAGAACTTAGAGAGTTGAAGACTTGTTTTATTGTGTAATAACTCTGTTTTGATTAGTTTGAGTCTGTAATATTAGAGTCTAAGATAGCCGATACATAGTCTGCACTTTAGAAGCTTCAAAAACTCACATTTATCAGTTTGTCTCGACTTTAATCGATTAAATGGTTAGATAATCGATTATTACAGTGAGAAAAACCATTTTTTGTATCTGTTGACTGTAATAATCGATTAACACACCTGTTAATCGATTAACAAGGCTTTTAATTGATTAAAACAGAGAGTTTTGGGGTTCTGTTGATTTTGGCTCTGTAATAATCGATTAACACTTCATTTAATCGATTATTTCAGTCATGTTTTGATTTTCAACTTCAAATTAAACCTATTTTCGAAAACTCTAATCTCAATACTCTCTAGTTCCGAAAATCCCAATTCTCAAACCCTAATTTCTCTACTTAAGGTTCTCTAAGACTCTCAGAAAATTAAACAACCTTTTTCAAACAAAAGTTAAGTGCTGTGAGTGCCAGAGAACTGTTTGTTGGAGGAAAAAGGGGCTTTTGGAACCTGGTGTGGGCTAGAAGCGATAAGAATCACTAAGTGGAGTTCTTAGTGGATTATGTGTTGTGCCCTCTCTGGGGAAAGTTGTTCTTCATCTCTTGTGGGTTTCAAGAGAGGTGTTTTCTTTACTTTGAATTTTCAATTGTTATCTGTTTGTAACAACTTTGATTATAGTGACAGCGTTAATCCTCTGTTTGAGTGATTAGCAACTGGACGTAGGGTCTTTTGATCTGAACCAGTATAAATCTCCTGTGTAAGACTCTATCTCTATCTTATTTACGTTTGCACAGCTTTTTAATCGGTAAAATTTGGGGAAAATTTTTAAAACCTAATTTTTGTTAAGGAACCAATTCACCCCCCTCTTGGTTTTTGTCCGTCCACGCGAACATTCCGTTGCGCGATTCTAACACAGTTGTGTCCCGACTAATAAAAGATGTTAATTATGATAAGTGAAGTGCCTAGATGAAAGTTTCTTTTAGATATCACGGAAGAATTAATGATCAATAAACTCAGGGAGTTACAAAAAAAACTTGAGAAAAAAAATATAGTACAACTTTATTTTTATTGTTTCGAGTTTTAAAATATTTTGACTTTGAGAAGATTGTAAGAGTTATATCGACATTTGATGCATATTAAAGAAGGAGTATGAGAAAGATAATTGAGTCACACGAATTTGGTAATAGGCACTGCGTAGCGAAATAAAAAATATGAGAATGAAAGAGTTGGAAAAAGTTGCTAAGTACATCTTGCGTGTTGAAAATGTGACGAAACAGCTTAATCATAATGGAGAAGTAGTTTTAACGGAAAAAATAATTGAAAAGGTGTGTCATTAACTTATGATTTTGAGAATATAATGTGTGGACTTTCCAACTTATAATAAAATGGTTGTTCGGTTTTCTTAAAAACTATGAACACCAACTGAAGAAAAAGAAGGAGAATACTCTGAAGTTACTCCACGAGAAAATGCGATCTACTCTTAGAAGAATAATGGAAGAGGATGAAATGGTGATCGGATCTGAAGTGGCTGATCTGAAGTATCTAAGTGAGGTGACGAGAAGGATAATCTCCTTATTTTAAGATGTATGTCTATGCATAATGGAAATGGCTTTTGGTGGTGAAAAAATCATATTAGTACTCAATTATTGTATGCATCTGTACCGGTAAAATTCCAATTATAAATAGTGACAATCAATAAGGTACCAAGTATGATGCAAGTTAATATTGTAGTGATTCCCCTTTCTATGTTTGCTCTCAACTTTAACAAAAATAAACAAATACGTAAAAGAAGGACCCATTGGATTAAAACTATTAAATAATTCAGGCGTGAGTCTTTATGATTAAAAGTGCAAGTCAGATCATAATTACCTACTAGGGATTTTTTTTTTTTAAAGAGGGGAGCGAAATTTGAAATGCTTATGCTATAACTTACCCATAGGCATCTACAATTTCTTGAAAAGAAGAAGTGAATTTGTTTGTGGAAAAATAGGTAGGCGGTGATTCCTTTGTCTCTAAAACCTGAAATATCGCCCCAACTTGAGAATTACACTCCATAGTTGCCTGCTGCAATGCTTTTTGAATCTGTCAAGTATTGAATCAAATTAATTAGCTATGCCACCCAGTAAAAACGGCATTACATGTATGCTTCTTCACAACGCATCTCATAGTTCAAAGACAAACCTGACTTGTTGCAGAAACAGGACACCAACCTACTGCAAGGAGACATTTCTTTGTCACATGCATGCTAAGCATATTTAGTATGTGATAAATGGCTTTTTCCTTCTTCAACTATCATTTAAAATTGAAGAAAGGAAATGTTAGCATTGGAATGAAAATTAATTGCAGAAGCTTAACAACAAAGCTGAAAAGATAAACATAAACCAAATAGTCTATGTCTATGCATGTATTTTGGCAGTAGCCCATAGAAATAATAGATGTAAAATGAAACAAACCTGAAGGCTCCACTGCTCGTAGTGATATCCAACTGTCTGCAATAGAGTGCTCCGGTGAAGCAACCCCGCATCGATGGTTGTCTTCAATTCTGAAAGTCTTCCTGAAACCTATCAAGCTCATAATACGCAGTAATTATTTTCTGCACATTTTCTGTAACCAGCCTATGAAGAGCTGCTAATGGGTAAAGTAGACCAACTGCTATGCTGAAGTTGAAAGAAGCTCGCATCATTAAATTCAAAATCTCCAATATGGTGAATATCTTGTCCAAACAAAAGCATGGGGTTGATTCAATGTTTTGGTAAAAATTTGAATTAATTTACTCAACTTTGTCCTAGTATCTGTTTCTTTGGGTTTGTCGTTTCCTTCCTTCACCACATAATGTACAAAATTTTCGCTTCGAGTCCATTTGGAAATGAAGCAGGAACTACACATAAAGTAATTGATTATATCCAAGGCAAAAAGTAATTGTAAAATAATTTATTTTGTTTGAGTTGTTTAAAAATTACATTTTATAGTAAAATTACAATATTAAATGCATGAAATAATCAATACTTGAATGTTTTTATATTTAAAATAATTAATTTAATGTCACGTAATCAAGACTAAATATAATTTATAAAAAAAATATAAATTAATTAAATAGTTAGAAAATTATATATTATCTAATATATAACTTTTTGTTGGAAAATTACATAAATTGCATATAATGAGAAAAAAAAAGTAAACACAGTAATATTTTCTATCATTAATGCCTTTTTCTTTGTTAAAAATGATTAATTTACAAGACAAATAAATGATTTTTACATGAAAAATGTAGAAATTGTTTTCCTCACATTTTACATATTGTTCCCTTTTTATTATTTTTCTTTATTTCTATCAAGATTAAAACAATATTTGTTGACCATTTCCAACAATCTCTTAGTTAGACTGATTTCGATATCTCTTTATACTATGATCAATACAATGACTTTTTTTGGTTTGTTGTTGTTATTCTTGTAGGGGAACTGAAATTGAACACAATTTCAGTTTCTCAATGATTACTACTTTTATCAACATATCTCTCGGATTCTTTTTCAACGTTAGCACATCATTTTCAAACAAAGATCTCATGAACTGACAGCGAAAACGAATCTATACGAGATGTATTTCACACTGTGTTTTGAGTTATTTGTGTGTATGTTACATTTATCCATGAACATTAATTTCTTTCAAAATCATATCTGTACTACAAATAATAATTTTGCTCCATTATCTCAGAGCAATAGCCAAACTTATCCTTTCCCTAACCAACAAAAGTTGACATCAAGTTTATTTCTACCTTAATCAGTGGTGTGTGTATATATATATATTATTATTATTAAGTAATTTAGAACTTGCCCCACACGTAAAAATTTTAGATTCGTCATTCCTTACGAAGCAATTTCGGAGAAATAGTTGACTTACATCATTGCATAAAAACTATTAAACTTGGATAAGGAAAAAAATAATTAACAACTAAAAAACAATGATAAGGTTGATCGAGATCACTGAAATTTACACAGCTCGACGTGGGTAATTGAAGAAAAATGAGGCATATGTTACCACTAAAAAAACATAACTGAAAAATAGTTGTACAAAAAGTTACAAGAAGATTAAAGATGTAAAATATTCATCTGAAAATGTCCAAACTGCAGAGAATATGCCGTTCTTATTAATAATTAACAATAAATTCTCAAGATGCAACAATCTGGAGCATTTTGTTAAAAACTTAATAACAACTGAAAACTAAGCAGAAATTTAATATAAAAGATTGCATTTACCTCTGTTATCGTCTGAAATTGTTTACTCAAGTCATCTGAGAAGGGATAACGATTTGCTCCAAAAGCATCACATATTTTCAGAATTTTACTTTTAACACTTTCTCCAGAATAAAAGACAACAAATACATTTTTATGAACCTGTAAAAAGGAGGCTATGACTATATGGACCAAAAATGACTAGAAGAAAGAATTGACTAGTAGCCAAAGAAGAGTAAATTTCCATAATCAGCAAAATAAGTATAATTATGCCACAACAGCATTATCGTCTGTCTCTATAAGTTCAGAGATTTTTAAATAAAAGAAGGAACATAAATGATCTAGTACTTATACTACTTTCTAATTGCAAGAGGTTAAAAACTTAAATTCAAGAATTTAAAGTAACCTTCTCCCCTGACGAAAGATCAACAACAGAATGATCAACCACAGCCTGTTTGAGAAACACGTTTCCCCTAGTAGCACGAAATAGAATTCTTTCGAAAGGAACTGATTTTTCCCTCGAAACAAGTCCACTGATAAACCCCAGCTTAATTTGCTTTGTTGTCGTCTCTTCCTGAGCATAAATTTATTAAGCGGAAAGAGAACAAATCTGTAAAGTAACGAATAGAAACTACAAAACTGCAGCTTATACCTGTTCCAATAATAATGGGCTGTCAATAGACCTTTCAAAAGTTATTTGGGCTTCAAGCCTTTTCTGGTGAGCTACCGCATTATTTTTTGCTGAAGAGAAAAAATCACCAACCTGAAATGATAAATCATAAAAGGCATTACCACTTTGAGTGAACTTTTCTTTTCCAATCAACGAGAGAATACCGAGCTATTTGGTCAAATACATGCTACAAACCGAAAATTAAGTTTGCTTCTGTACTAACAGTACGTATACAAGTAGACAGAAATAAACCATAATAATGTACCAAAAATTAAACGCTTATACCCTTATATTTAAAGTTTAAACACAAGAAAGATGAACTGTAAAGGCATCCTAAGTATCGGAAGTGACTACGGCAATTGTGGCAGTGAAGAACCTAGCAAACCATACCTTTTCTTGAACAAGTTTATACTCTGATAGCTCATTGTAAGTGTGTTTCAACTTCTCATTATTTGCGTTAATCTCAAGGAGGTCAGCTTCAAGTTCTACAAGTTTAACCTAGACACGAACAAAAAAATCATTTCCTGACACTGTACTTGAGCAGAAGAACGGATGACAAAAATTTCAGAGCATGTAACGACCTCCAAACTTTCCAGATCAACGGTATCCTCTCTTGCTGACCTCGTTGTGGGTGATATACCTGCTTTCGTCATTTGTTCCTTAAACAACCGTAGCCTACGCGCCATTTCCCCACATCTTTTAATCTAGATGATAAAATAACAAGTTTTTAAGTTCAGTAAATCAAAATGAATTCTATTAAATATGGCCTATTAGTATTAGTATATGCCGTTACGATCTTTTTCGAACTGTTAAATGTACAAGGTGTACTAAAAGATGGGATATTTTAGCAACATTGACAATTTCCATTAGCATACAAAACAAAAATTAACAGTGGAGCTTAAAGTTTCCTAAAAGACATAATAATCTGTCACTGAGCCTCACCAATACCTCTGCCACAAAGAGAATGGGAGAGAGAGAACGGTCTCATTGTAACTCCCTTTCAAATGTTTGAACTTCAATTAGAGCACATCTCCATTAGTTCAACAATTCAAAATTAGTTTTATCCAAATCATTTCACCCTATTTTAATTTAATACAAATCCTGGATCACCTGGTTACTTTAAGGAATTCTCTAATGTGCTTAAGATAAAAATAATAGAAATATATTTTTCATTACAGGTTTACCATAACATAAATTGAACATCCAAAACATGATTAAAACATATCTACAGTGAATTTATATATAACTGAAGATAGAAAAATTTCAGTAAGGCCATCGGAATGAAAGGACGCGAAAATATTATGCAGTTTATCCAAATCTCGCGGCATTAGAGAGTTACAACCTCTTCAATACCACACAACAAATATGCATAGGATTTTTATTTTTTAAAATGTAACCAAAACGCAAGAAGAGGTAGACATTTAATATGCACCTGAGAAGCATAAGTTCGCTGGAATGGACTTTTATCTACATTGAGCTGGAGAATAAATTCAAACAAATAGTTGTCAATATAAGAAACAAATAACATTCAGAGAGATGAAGGCATTAAAACACAATTGAAAAAGTGAGTCAGAGCATCAAAAGAGTCACAGCAATGGAGGTTTCAGAATTCATAGTAAAAGAATCTAAAACAAGAGCAATGAGAATTGAAAAAGAGTGGCACGTCTTTGAATTGGAAGAGGCCGAGATCGCCGAGGTAAGAGATTGATCGATGAGCTGATTCGATTGGAATGATCAATTGAACCATTTGCATAGGTTCCGACCGTAGCAGATCCATCGTGGGAATAGGACGACCTTCATTCACCATCATGAATTCTAAAATGCACAAATACAAAATGAATGAACGGAAGAACTGTGAGGCAAATGCTCTTGTTCTATAGAAAAAGAGTTCGTTCGTAAATCAAATCTTGCCGCTATATCCATCCCGCGGTTTATAATGCTTCCTCTTCCTCCTAACGCTCGCGCGCATATAAATACATAAATATATAAATAAATAATATATAATTATTAATCTATAAGTATTAATAACTACTTTTATTATAAAAATTGTTTTAATAATTAATTTTTAACAATACTAATTATTTTTTATTATAATAAAAAATGCAGATTTGAATTTTCAAAATAATAATAATAATAATAATATTATTATTATTATTATTAATATCGGTGGATGATAATAGTTAAAATAAATTATTCACGAAGAGTATCTTTCGACATATATTTTAATATGATAATCATTAAAGGCAATATATGAAACGATAATTAAAATATATGTCAAATATTTATATTATTACAATCACATTTTATTTAAATACATATTATGTTTTAAAATACTTCTAAGTAAACCTTTATCTAAAATATATTTTACAAAATGATTATTTAATATAAATATGATACATTTTTTAATAATAATAATAATAAGTTAATCAAATGATAATAGTTAAAATAAATTTTTGTATACAGTCACATATAATTTTAAATAATTATTTGTTTAAATTGAAAATTATTATATAATAATGAAGTAAAAATAGATTTGATTTTTTTTATTCTAACACTGTTGTTAGATTTGTCATATTGAGCCAAGTCTGATCCATAAGAAAATAATTTATGAAAAACAACTTAATAATTTCGTAGTTACTCACAAAACTAAATAATAGTATAAATTTAATGTTAATAAAAAAAACATATATTCAATTAGATGCAATGCAATGATGCGTATAGCAGCATCATTGTGTAATTAAGAGACTTGTAAATGTAGTATTACTCATACTAATACTATAAGTTTGGGTAAATCTTTACAACTGTTTTATAAAGAAATTATTATTAAAAAATATATAGTTAATTAATGTTTAAAACTTATAAAATAAAGTAAATTCAATATTTAATATAAAAAAGTAAAAAGAAATTGTAGGAACATGGTTAGAGTGGAGTAAAACTATTTGTATATATCTATATATAATACGATGACTGATTAGTTAATGCCATAAAAACTCTCACGTGGATACATAGTGTAGTACAATTATATCTCTGGATCTGTAAATAATGAAGATTCATAATTGTGGTTATAAAGAACTGTCTGATATGAGTATTGGCGTGTACACTAAAGTAATATGGCAACAGGGAAATCAATTTCGTGTTGACAATTGTAAGACATGCATGCTACTCCTATCAAGTACTAGTTCAGAACACTTCCGAGTGCCACAAATTTTTCTCTGAGCCTTTTGATAACACTTTTTACCACGCTATTAATAACACTTTTTTAAAAACACTATATTTATTATCAATTAAAAATATTAATTTCAGATTTCTTGACATAAGACCCATATTACTTTTTACCAGTTCTATTACATTTTAATTCGACTAAGATTAAAAACAGGTTAGATTACTTGTTAATCTGTCTTATAATCCCGAAGTTAGGACAAGCTTATTTATAAGTTATGTATCTTTTTTAAATATTTTTATATGAAAATATTTTTAAATCATTTAAAATAATTCCATCTAACAAGTTAACTTATTTGAAATTTATTATTATAATAATAATAATAATAATAATAATTAATTATTATTATTATTATTATTATTATTATTATTATTATTATTATAGTTATTAAGATGATAATAACTACATATCAGTATCATATTATGATGATAATATTACTATTAGGTTCGTGGTTGACAGAATAGAATGAATGTGTATTTAGCAAATAAATATGTGCTTGCAGTAGTTGAGTGTGATTTAATTAATGTTGGAGCGAAAAATATTAATCCAGACATGCAATGCCAATGCCCTAAAATGAAGGTCCGAATTTCGTGGATGCGTAATTTGGGGAAGAAAGTCGTTGCTGGGATCGTAGCTGGAACTATTTATTCGATCAGGACCCGGGATTTGATCGTCTGAAAAATAAATGATAAAATTCCGGTGCTATAACTTGGCATTTAGTTACATAAATTGTAGTTATTTCAACTAGGCTCCAAATTTTCAGTACAAACAATGTCTCTTGTCCTTGCGTGAGAATTGTTTTCCATGCGAAAGAATATTTCAAAAAAAGATCTATGGCTCTAATATGGAGTTCATTAATCATCTCTACTTTTTATAAGCTAGAAATTTATTAATATTATCAATGCTTGAAAAGGCAGAAGAAATGTATTCAAGACTAATACAACACAAAGTAACAAACCCACTCATGCTGAGTAAACATAATAAAACCAAGCCTTTTGGGTTTATACCCGTGTTGAGTTGATCAATCCTCAATTTCAGTTCTTCGCAGACGACATCGTATCATATATTTCGACATAAGATTTTTAGTAATGGTAGTCTTGTAATCAATGCAATATCATTCCACATCTTACTTTATTTGTGCATGTGTGTCGTGCCCGTTGCCCTTACCTCAGACTATTTGTTCAGGCTTGAGTTATGTTATCGTGTGATGCATCAGTGTATGAGCTAACTAAGCAAAAATTAACGTTTTATATATCAATTCTTTTAGCAAAATCGGAATATTTAACGGTTTTATAGGCAACTTTTGTTTTTGTTTGCTTCTATCTTTCTTTTCTACCGATGCATGTGGCCAACAGAAGTGACTAGACTTTGAGCTACAATTATAGATTTAACTCTTTTTTTCTTTTTCCTGTCTCTGGATGTTCCTCCAAAAAGCATGAAAATTTAGTCAACTCAATTGATCTTAATCTAATCACACAGACTGCCCACAAAAATCGTAGCAGAAAACAAAATTTTAAAGTTAATTCTGCTTATATAGATGAAGGGATAGAGAATTAAATGGGTAAAATATGCACCTTTATGCCAAACACTTTCTCCATAACCATAAACATGATCAACACAGGTAAAGTTGTACAGGATCAAAGGATTAGAAACTGGAGGGGGAATATGACAAAGAAAAAAATGGTATTAATCTTAGATGAAAGAGAAAGAGAGTGGTATGTCTCAATCAAATGAAGGTTCTGTAGCACATGTTATGGGCCAGTTATTACAAAACTAGGGAAATTTTCTCTAGCGTTTCTGATTCTTCCTTGTGCACTAAAACAAGCAGTCTATTAAAGTATCATTAGCCCTATCATATCGTGTGTACCTTGACCTATTTCATTGGGCGCTGTACACACTTATATGTATAAACATACATCACATGCACATACTTTTAGAAGCATTAAACATTATGAGCAAAAGAAGATGACTTTGCCAACTCAAGCATATGGAAGTCACATCCCTGGATAATGGATGTCTATTCCAGTGGATAATTTTTACTGTTTTTCAGAGATGTAGTTGGTGTAAATGCTAGTTGTAATTCTCCATTTATACGTAATATAATTATATCTTCAGATTTCGAACGATCAAGGAGGGAAAAGGTATAGAAAGTGAAAAATTCAGTGTTTTTCGATCACTACTAGACTGCTAGAACGCTTAGTTGCCAATTAGCTAGCAATGCATGGGAGGCAAGAAAAGATGGACCATGAGTGACCCGTTTCTCCCAATAAATTGTGTAAATAAATAAAAAACTGTAAAAAAATAAAAATTGAGAAAAAGAAAATTCCATGGATCAAACACGAAACCTACTTCATTCTATTTCAATCTGGCAAGCAAACGGATAAACGGGAAAAAGTGGCTTCGAGTTCAGCAACAACCAGAAAGCTCACTCAACGTTAACCCAGAAAAAGAAAAATACTAAAGAAATCAAATCATCCGGCAAAAGAAAACTAAACAAAATAATGCACACACATCAAAATGCTGTCCGTGTCAAGGAAAACACACCACAACCCCACACTCACGGCAAAATGAAAATGTATGTGCTCTAGAATTGAAAAGTGACAATGAGTTTACCAATAAAATCAAAATAACAATAAAAATCTGAATTGACATTCGGATAACACAAAACAACTATCCCCGGACCCTTTAATTTCATGCACTAGAATCATTGCTATAATCATTTTTTTTAATTATATTAACTACTTTTCCTTCTAGCTAGCTAGCTAGCGACTTCAGCTTGCATGAAGATCAATGGATAAACCGAGGAACAACCATAATCAATAATTCTAAACAGACTCAATTAATGACCCAAAACAAGAAATAAAGAAAGACTCGGTTTCATCAATTATGTCCGCATAGATAGAAAAGAGACGTCTTTAGGACCTTGGGGGTTGGAAGAATTGTGTACCAGACATGAAAGCATTCAGCGGAGCGGGGTAAAGTGAAGGGTCAAATGGGTTGTTTCCACCGGTTGTGGCTGTGGATGCGGCGGTTATTAAACCAAGTTGTTGGTGTTCACCACCGGAGGAACCCTCAGTTGCTGCACTGGTGTAAGAACTTTCAGGACCTTGATCGTAGAGAATTCCCTTGAAAACATGCCCTCCGATGTTGACAGAGGTTTGATACGCGCACTGTTCGTCTGAAGCGTCCACTGCACTGACTCTCACACACCGAAACACCGCCGAAGTGCTCACTTCAGGTGGGAATTGCCCCAGCTCTAACCCTAAGTACACAAAAATCAACAAATTTACTTGATAGTGTGCCATCTATTCTCAGTTATTATCACGGGGAAAAAAGGAAGAAAAGAAAAAAGGTCTTGCCAACGTCTCAAATGGATGGAACTCAAATAATTTCGTCAGTTTTACTTAAAAACAGTGACGGAATATGGAAAAAGAAGAAAGAGAGGGGCAGAAAAAACAAGACCAAAATGTGATTGGTGACCAAGGAGCGGCATTGCATTTTCATTTTTTCAGTCAAATATTATGGACTAATTAGGTGGTGTATGTAGTCATAGAATAGAAGACTACACTTAGTTTCCTAGGGATCTCAGTGCATAATCTGTATGTAGTTTGCCTAAGAAACAAGTTCAAAAAATTTCATAGTTGAAATTTATGTCAAGAAAGATAGATATGCCATACAAGAGAAAAAATAAAATAAAATATAACCATTTTTTTTATTTGAGATATGTATCATATTGTAATGTGATATGAAAGTTAACCTGTGATGGGTTGAGGAGCGGAGACGAGTTGTGTGTCTCTGTGATGTCGTTTAGGAATATTCTCTCCGCGAAATTGTTGTGGGTGCTGCAACGCAGCGAGTTGTTGTTGTCGCTCGCGGCGCTTGGCTGCGGGAACCCAAGTGCTCTTGACGTGAGTTTGACACTGAAACCCTCGGGTCTTACAGCAGGTCCTGCATCTGAGATGTGTACAATCTTTCTTGGCTTGGTTACCACAGTCCTGACAGTTCATGCCGCTGCTTCCTGCGCCTCCAGACCTCATGACAGTTAATCCAAATCTCGTAGACTCATCAGACACGCACAGTGAAACCTCCTCCTCGTTCACGCTCGAGCAGTTCCTGCGACTAGGACCCACTCCAAACGCAAAGTAGTTGCTCAAGTTTTGGTGTGCAGCTTGAGGGTGATACGACTCTGGCCATATCTCGAACCCCTTGTTGTAGATCTCCTCGTTCCTGAACAACAGTAGGTTATTCCCGTTGTTGGTGTTGTTATTGTTATCTCTTTTTTCTACCTCCTCCTCTTCCTTGTTTTGTGGGCCTCCCCTTCTAGTTCCACCTAGAGAGAAGAACCCGGCCATTTGTTGCACCCCAAAGCTGAAACGATTTTCCCCAATTCAGACACAATATCCATAGCAGAACCTTCACCAATCTTAAAATGCTTTACTAAAGATCGGGGCTACAGCTGTAAATTTTCGGGTTAATTAAGGCTGGTTTTGCATATAGTAGAAAAGAAACCTGCTAGGTTTGCTTACTGCCTACTACTAGTAATTTTCGACCCAATCGTTTTCTTTCTTTTCTTCTTTTTTTTTTTTTTGTCTTATTCACGCTCACTATGTGGGTGTGATGTGTTGTGTGGTGGGGCGTCTCAAATATGATCTTCTCTGGGCTGGTTGAGTTTTTGCAGCTTTTGGGGGAAACTGTTTCTCAACCAAAAAAAGAAAAAAAAAAGGTTAATTTTTTTAAAAAAACGAAGACAGGAATTTTGAAATGAGTAAAGAAGAGAGGATGTGGAGTTGGTGAGGCTGAATTCCCTGAGAAGCAATTATGGCACGGAATTAGAGCCTCTGCTACGCCGCCATGGTAACTGCACTCATCTACTCTGCTGTATAAGTCTCATTTATGAATTACGGTCTCACCAATCCAACACTATCTCTTTCTACCTCTTCGCTTTCTAGTTTAGACCTTAGAGTTCTCTGTCCTACGCTGCACCAGAGGAATTCAAGCTAGCTTCGTTTCATGGTGCGTTGCTAAGCCTATCTGGGAGTGTGGTACTGTTGTGTGATGAGGATGAGAGAGAAAGAGAGGGTGGTGGTTTGTCATGTGTGCGTGGAGGAACATGAAAATCTATCACTTACCATTTATCTACAGTTCTCTTTCAGTTTCAATAAATCTCGGCCGGGATGAGTGAACCACCACTGTGCTTTGACCATCCCACGGACGATACTCTTCCACGTGTCATATCACCAGCTTTTGCTTATTCGTCCTTGTACCGGAAAACCCGCTGGTACTTTCTCTGACCCTCACCATAAATTAGTTTTTTTTTTTTTTCTTATTTTTAACGTCTCTGAAGCTATCCCCATTGTGGAATACTAGTACCCTGCATCACTCAACCATCAACATGCATCTACGTGGCTCGTTTCACCACATACGTCTCCATCACCGCTCAAATCTTTCACCCTTATTATCCAACGGCTCTCATAATTCTTACCCTAGCTCAACCAATCAATATTATTGATTCTTCAATAAACTTCTTTTTTTCAACCAATTTTTGGAGGGAATGAAATAACTAGCCGTATTCTACGACTCAAATCTTAATCACTAGGCTTTTATTTTCTACTTATTTCTTCTTCTCATTTCAATGCAATAATTACAAATTTATTTCAATATTAAGTTATAAATACCTACACTAATCTAAATTATTTTATTGTTACCCCCGTCAACCAAATAAGTGGAAAGAGATACATTACAAAATACAAAGAACAAATCAATTAGATGGAAAACAATCTTTAATACCGTATAATTATTAACAAAATAAAGTATTACTAGATATACTTATAAAAATATATCATAACTATCTATTTAATTACGAAGGAGAAATAGATATATTATGCAAGTAAACTTTTTTCTAATTTGGCAACTTATTTACTATTTAAAAAAGATTTTTTGTTTTTGAATACACTGTATTTGAGAGAAAAAAATGAATTAAAAAATGAAATATGAAATGTTTTTGACATTTGACTTGAGTAATTTGAAATGCGATAACATTGATTTGGAAAAGTTAATTAGCGTTGGGTGTGGTGCATTGTCACGTAGCTATTGCGAGTATTTATGATTTGGTTTACTTGGGCTGTGTTATCTGTCCCATGCCTCGTATTCCACCTCAAAATTCTTGGCATAATGATTATATGATTGACTCGGGAGATGGCATAATAATATGTTAATGGATGGAAAATTCATTTGGTGCATTAGAAAAAGAGTTTCGTCGCTGAGAGGTCAACACCTGTGATGCAAAATTTGGCCAGACACGACGCACGAAATACACCCCGTGTCGTCTACATGGAAATCCCACACGGGCCTTTTCTCGGCAACAAGTGGGGTACTGGAAGCGTCTTCATTTTTAACCCATTAAAAAAAGCCAGCAAATTAAATGCATTCAATTCTACTCTAGTACTAACTTCTTCTTCTTTTTTTATTATTATTATTTACTTGCATCTTCGTTTGTTTCCACTTTGGGTGTCTCTGCGAATTTACTTGCATATGTGAGGTTGCATTGCGCCAACTTTCTGCCCAGATTCTATTATTAATTAAAACAACTTTCTTCCATTTTAGGTCTTCCGTCCTGGAGCATGCACCGCACAAAACCTCAAAAATAGTGAGACTATTTCACATTTGACAATGGATCATTTTATACGCGTAATGGTTTTTAGTTGACAATGTTGTGAATAATCACGCAGGTTTCCCTTATTTTGCGTTAATTTGTTGTCTCATGGACCTCGTGCCGTGCCTCTGAACCGATGATCCAATTTCTTACACAGCGTGTGTAGCAAGTCGCATAATAGTAGTATTTTTTATTTTTTATTTTTGTATTTTATTCCACAAGCTTGTAAATAGTAGAATATGAATGTCGTTTGCTCCTCTGACCGAATTTATAGCAGCAAATGCTGCAATAATAAGAGCTGATCAGAGAGAAAAAAAGTTTGCGTAGGAAAGATCAATAAATTTAATTTTAATTTATAAAAAACTGTAAAAACAAAAATAAGAATTATTGAAATAAACCCAAACTTGACTCAGAATCCAAGATTGAAACAGAAAAGCATTGGGAATGATATTGGGTGTGTGGAGATGAGATGCAAAATAAAATGTAAAGGTGAATGATTGAGCATCACGTGAAGCAGGACCGTAATTAATTAAAGAGAGGTAACAGGTGAATAATTGGCCCCAATAATATAACGGAACCAGGTAACAGAGCTAAGACAACCTACGCCTCTTCAAAGTCTAATCTAGTTTAAAAATTTGATGCCCAGTTAACCAATACTATTCCATCATTCGCAAAACCAAACTTTTTAATTCTAAATCAATTCCTTATTTGGGGCCCGAGGAATCAAATCATACTCTCCTTACTATTTTACTGTTATTATTACACAACTTAAAATCATTCTCTCATGTCTCAATCTTTGATTGACCCTTGAACCCTGAAGCTGGTCAACAGGCCCGACAGCTCCAAATTAAGAAATGTGCCCCAAAATCAAACTGGTTTAGTGGGTGATTACACTTCATTAAGCATTGAATGAATCATTGATTGATAATCCTCGAGGTATTGGGCGTGTCATGATTGCTGGAAAGAGGAGAGCTAAAGGATTGAGAAGACGTAACCTTGTTTTTTTTTTCTTTTTCTTTTCTTTTCTTTTCTTCCATTTATCCAATTCCATATCATGATTGGATTCTACACCAATTTCAAACTAGTTTACCTTGCTTAAGCACCCATCATTACTGCTCCTGCTTTTTCTTTTAACCCTCGAGAATCTTCAATTGAAATATATGTAATATATTGTTACATAATGCTCCCATCGTGGATTTGTTATATATTGTTGTAGCCTTATAGACATTATGCCCTTCTGTTTTACTTCTAGGCCATAGATCCACGTGGAGATTAGATGCACACTTGATTTATCTTCACGATAGTTATATATATATTTATTCTAACAATAATTAATTTTCTAGTATTCACTTTAATATTTTTAAATGTAGGCAAAATCTTGGATTTATGCTTACAAGATAGTAATTAAGTAAAAAAAAATCTTTATATTTTGGTCCTTTAAAGTTTAAAATTTATTATTTTTAATCTTTAGTATTATATGACACTAATTAATTATTCATCCATTACAAGAAAAGTTAACTGCCCATTCCAAGTCTTATATACTTATGTTGTTGTACAACTACGAGCACATTCATTTTAAAAAAATTATAATATTCAAAATAAATATTATTCATCTATCTTAAAATAATAAACATTAGAGACTAAAATTAGTTTTTGGGACAGATAACAAAAATATATTTGACGAAAATTAAAACAAAAATTCACACCTTTAATGAGACTAAAAAAAATAATTATAGATTTTAAAATAATAAAAAAATATAGACAAAATTCTTAATTTAACAATAACCTAAAAACATAATTAAACCTTGTAAACACATTTTCTCGTGTGTTACAGTTGCGGATGGAAGGGCCGAAATTATTTTCAGGCTCTGGATATCAATTATTATAGAGGCCCAATTTGGGTTCTATTTTAAATGCATATTTGGGCCTATATTTTTCGTTAAACCTTTGAAAGGTCTGAAAATGGATCCAACTGCATTCAGTTTCTTTATTGTTTTAGAAAAAGAAAAGCGTGTCAGCAAGTAGCAACAATGCAAAATAAAATAAACACTTTCAAGCCACCAATGATCAGAGGATGGAAATATATAAGGTTTTTGCTATTTACATTTTCCGATTTACTAAGAATACTTTCCTTTCCTTTTTCATACAAATTTTATTACTGAAAGTATATTTTTATATAAAAATAGCGCAATATTTTATTTTTCATATTCATTCTCTTCTAAAACTTTTTTTCCCATCATCTGCTTTAGAAATATCATTAGTTACATTTCCATCAGTAAGTTATTGCAATAATGGTTTGTCGAAAAGTATGTTAACAAATTGCATTTTCGTGTTGTTAGTATTAGGTGTAACTTTTTCTAATGTTCTACAAATTACTTTCCAAAACAGGTACATATTGTACTGTAAAATACGAATAAATAGTAGTCTTCATTTTATAAACCAGCTTTTTTGTGATTAAATTATATTTAAATTCAATATAACGACCTAGGGTAGAGTTTGATTGAGACTGAATTTACAAACGAATTCTATATAATAAACTGAATAGTATCGCATATTATTTCCTTGTTTTAATAATAAAAAAAATTATATAATGTTTTTTATACGACCACTTGCCCATTCATATCGCTTATTTTCCAATCAAACCTACCCTACCCTACAAAGTCCTTGCATGAGAACCAAGAAAATGCACGTCACAAAATTTCTTCTTCTACGAGAGAGTTCGACAAGGTGAGCATGGCAACCCAAGGTTCGCGATCCAAGATTGAACTTGTGGTAGACACTGTTAGAAATAAGTCAAAAATTGAAAACAGTTAATACTGTTTTACGTTGCTTTCATTTTTCTATTTATGTACTATGTATAAATACGTTCTTTCATCTTTTACATAAAGTATGTGAGTTTCCATTTATTCTTCTGCATGCATGCATAGCTTCTATATGGTATCAAGAGCCAGAACGGTTTAGTGAAGGGATTTCCAGTCCATATTGTGTGTGGCGTGTTAGGGTGCTCTTTGTGAAGCACGTACGTGTGAAGTTCAAAATCATGACTGGACTTAGTGGATTCATTCTTGGAGGGTTACCCATGTTCGATGGAAGCTGTTTTGATGACTGGAAGATCAAAATGCACGCGGTGTTTGGATTCCAAGATATGGCCGAAGTGATCGAAGATGGCGTCATTGATCCCGGTAGCAAGGCATCAGACGAAGAAAAGAGGAATTACAAACAGATGCAGAAGATGAATAGCAAAGCCAGGTATTTGCTATATCAATGTGTAAATTCTGAGATCTTTAACAAAATTTCAATGGCTGAAACGGCTAAAGAAATATGAGAGATTCTCATCAAGACTTACGGAGATAGTGACAAGCACAAGCGAGTAAAGTTGCAGGCCCTACGTAGAAGTTTTGAGTTCTTAATAATGGAGGATAACGAATCTGTGGCGAGTTACGTCAACAAAGTTCAGAGTGTGGTTAACGCCATGAAAAACTGTAACGAGACATTGTCTTAAGAACACGTGGTAAACAAGATTCTTCGTTCTTTACATCCAAAGTTCGATCATCTTGTTATCACAATTGAAGAAACAAAGGACATCGACAAGCTGAGTATTCAAGAATTACAGCACTCGTTGGAGGCTCACGAACTGCGCATAAGTGATCGCAAATCGTATCAGGAGTTGGTTCTTCAAGCAAGAACATCATCGAAGCCAAAGAAAGATACCAAGAAGGGTCACAAATTCAAGAAGAAGATTGATCCAGAGTCGTAAGAAGGTGAATCAAAACAGGGCGGGAATGTGAGTAAAGACAAGGTGTTTAACAAAAAACGAGTGAAATGCTATAACTGCCAGAAGTATGGTCACTTCGCACGCGATTGTTGGCATGGTGATGGAGCGAAAAACAAACCCAAGTCTATATCCCAGGCAAATCTCGCACAAGAAGAGTCGTCCGATTCTGAAGCTGTCTTACTCATGGTTCAGACCAAGAACGAAGATAATGATGATGATGCTTGGTATCTTGATTCCGGGTGTTCTACCCATATGACTGGCCGGAGGGAGTGGTTTGTGAAATTAAGTAAAGAGACTCAAGAACGGGTGCGATTTGCAAACGATAGCTGTTTGCATGCAGAAGGGAATGGACGAGTCGTGTTAAGAAGCCTCGAAGGAGAAGAAGTTATAGTGGACGACGTCCTGTATGTCCCTGGGTTACGAACCAATTTGCTAAGTCTTGGCCGAGTTAATGCGAAAGGGTTCAAGATGGTTACTGGAGGATAATTCTCTACGGGTCTATGATCAAACAAAGAAGCTTGTCATTTGTGCTTGCATTATCATCCAATCGTACGTTCAAGGTAAAAATAACTACGTTAAACCATAAGTGTTTTGCAGCTGCAGTGAACAGAGAAGAGTGGTTGTGGCACTTACGCTTTGGTCACTTGAACTTCAAAAATTTGAGTGAACTGAGCGTTAAAGGAATGGTTGAAGGGATGTCTCGCGTGTCTGTGCCAGAAGAAGCGTGTCATGACTGTGTGCAATGCAAGCAAACGAAGAATAAGTTCAGCAAATTTGTTGCCACCAAAACAACGAAGGAGTTAGAACTGGTATATTTTGATCTTTGCGGACCATTGCTCGTGGAAACACCCGGGGGTAGTCGATACTTTGTGACCTTCACGGACGATTACACCAGGAAGTTGTGGACGTTACGCCTAAAGCGAAAAACGAGGTCTCGACACATTCGGGAGGTTCAAGAATCTCGCTGAAAAACGAGTGGTTGCATGATACAGCGACTACGGTCGATGGAGGGGAGAGTACAACTCACTGGAGTTTCAAAACTTCCTGACCGAAATGGGAATCACACACGAGGTTACACCGCCTCACACACCGCAACATAACGGAACCGCCGAGAGGAGAAATAGAACTCTCCTCAACATGGCCCGATGTATGCTCAAAAGTAAAAATGTGCCTATGTATATGTGGGGAGAAGCAATTGCAACGACGAACCTATATTCTAAATCGCACACCTACGAAGAGGTTGGAGGGAGTTACACCAGAAGAAGCATGGTCAAAACAGAAGCCAGATGTCAAGCATCTGCGAGTTTTTGGTTCCCTATGTTTCCATAAAGTGCCCGAAGTGCAGCGAACCAAATTAGACGACAAAGGAAAGCCTATGGTGATGATTGGTTATCACACTACTGGAGGGTATAAGCTGTTTAAGCCCGAAACCAAGAGTGTAACTATCAGCAGAAATGTAGTTTTTGATGAAGCCTCTGGTTGGGAATGGGAGACAAATAAGGTGAATAAGGCAGCAGAGGTGGTCCCAATTATTGCGCTAGAACCTGATGATGCAGTAGATTCTGGTGAGATTGAACCCCAAGAAGATGTTCAGCGACTTCGAAGATCCCAGCGTCAAGGACAACAACCAACTCGCTTCGGAGATTATGAAATGTTTGGTGTTGTTACTCGAAGAAGGAAACCCAGTGCATTTTGCATTGGCAGCAGAGGCGGAGCCGGTGGAGTTTGAGGATGCTATGCGTGATGAGAAATGGAGAAAAGCGATGTGTGAGGAGATAAAGTCCATTGAACGTAATGGAACGTGGAGATTGGTTAATCTTCCACCGCATAAAAGGCCCATAGCACTGAAGTGGGTATTCAAGATGAAAGTAAATCCCAAGGGAGAGGTGATAAGGCATAAAGCCAGGTTAGTGGCTAAAGGATATTTGCAAAAGGCTGGGACTGACTTTGGAGAAATATATGCACCCGTTGCTAGACTTGATTCAATCCGAGTAATTATCGCTATTGCAACAATAAACAAGTGGAGAATGCATCAGCTAGATGTAAAAACAGTTTTTCTAAATGGGTTGCTTAAAGAGGAGGTATACGTAACTCAACCGCCAGGATTTGAGGTTAAGGATGATAAACTGAAAGTTTACAAGTTAATCAAAGCTCTTTATGGCTTGAAGCAAGCCCCACGTGCTTGGAACAAAAGAATTGATCAGTTTATGCATCAGATTGGCTTTGAAAGATGCACCACGGAGCAAGGCTTATATGTGAAGTATTGGATCAGCAATGGTCAAGAAGAAAAATTACTTGTATGCCTATACGTAGATGACATGCTTGTCACAGGAAGTAAAGCGGAATATATCAATCAGTTCAAACATCAGATGACCACTAAGTTTGAAATGAGTGACTTGGGGGAACTCAATTATTTTTTGGGAATTGAATTCATGCAGACAGATCATGGAATGTTAATGCACCAGGCAAAATATGCGAAAGACCTGTTGAGAAGGTTCAAGCTTAAAGACTGCAACATAGCAGCTACACCGATGGAAACAAGATTGAAGTTGGGAAAGAATGAAGATGAGGAACCTGTGGATGAATCAGAATTCATGAAAATGGTTGGGTGCTAGAGGTATTTGTGTTGTACAAGACCTGACCTAAGTTTTGCAGTTGGAATAGTGAGTAGATTCATGCAGGAACCTAAACAAACCCACATGAATGCTGTGAAACGTATCATGCGTTATGTGCAAGGGACAAAGAATCTTGGCTTGCTGTTTACAAATAAAGGGTGCGAAGGAAGTGTTGAACTGAAGGGGTACGCAGATGCTGATTGGTGCGGAGATCAGATTGATAGGAAGTCCACTGCTGGATACATATTTTTCCTCTGCGGGTCACCTATCTCATGGCATTCTATGAAAGAACCTGTTGTAGCTCTTTCCTCCTGTGAAGCAGAGTACATTTCTGTTTCTCAAGTTGCGTGCCAAGCTGCTTGGTTAGCAATGCTCTTAGAAGAGTTAAAAGTGAAGATGAATTGTTGTTCAAAATTAATGGTGGACAATAAATCTACACATTCTGCTGCTCATGGTAGGAGCAAACACATTGAAACCAGGTTCCATTTTTTGAGGGAGCAAGTCAATCAAGAGAAGCTTGAAGTCGCTTAGTGTAAATCTGAGGTTCAGTTGACAGATATTTTTACCAAAGCATCAAAAGAGGAGAGGTTTAGGTAGGTGAGACAATCTATTAGAGTTATAAAACCTCCTGTTTAGTTATAAAACCTCCTGTTTGACTTAAAGGAGCGTGTTAGAAATAAGTCAAAAACTAAAATCAGTTAATACTGTTTTAGGTTGCTTTCATTTTTCTGTATATGTTCTTTCATCTTTTAGATAAAGTACGTGGTTTCCATTTATTCTTCTAAATGTTTTAGGTTGCTTTCATTTTTCTGTATATGTTCTTTCATCTTTTAGATAAAGTACGTGGTTTCCATTTATTCTTCTGCATGCATAGTTTCTATAGACACGACCACCACCACCACCACCTCGGCCGTTTTTAACCACTCGAACAGTTTCAACGTTCAACGACCTTGATAACGTCCCTAATCTCTGTTCTAACCAAATTCCATGCTGGCTACTTCAGAATAAGCCTCTCCCTTGGAAGCCAAGCTTTACTGTGGAAGACAATAATCACCCCAACACAGGACACGACCACTCTACTGCGCGTGCTTTCCAAGCTTCCTTCCGCGGCTGTATTTGCACTTTGGTCTCTCTCTCTTTTCACTCTAGCCTTACTCTCCCTTCTCTACCTCCTAAAGTGCGTTTTTTCTTTTTAAGATGGTGAAGGCCGAATTCTTGCACCCTGTAGGGGTTAACTACCTCTTCGCGCCCTGGATTTCGTGGCTTCTCTTGCTTCAATCGGCGCCATTCGTCGCGCCGAAAACCGCCTTGTACCTGGTTCTGTGGTGGGTGTTTGCGGTGCTTGACGTGAAGATCTACGGGCAGTGGTTGACGAAGGGGAAGAGGCTTTTATCCTCTGCGGCGGCGAACCCCACGAGCCAGATGTCGGTGATAGGGAACTTGGTGGGGGCACAGGCTGCGGCGCACATGGGGTGGAACGAGTGTGCGCTGTGGTTTTTTTCGGTGGGGATGGTGCATTACGTGGTGCTGCTTGTTACGCTTTATCAGCGATTATCGAATGGAGATGGGGTTCCGGTGTTGTTGAGGCCGGTTTTCTTCTTGTTCTTTGCAGCGCCCAGCGTCGCAAGCTTGGCTTGGGAATCCATTGTTGGAACCTTTGATACTGCTTCCAAGATTCTCTTCTTTCTCTCCCTCTTCCTCTTCGCCTCACTGGTAAGATATTCTTACCAACGTGTTTACATTCAACAAATATTGTCCAAAATATTTCCCTCCAATTACTCAATTAAAATACATTTAATTCTGGTAAAAAATATATTATTTGACAATTTTTCTTTTCTTATATAATCATTATACAACTCTTTATATATATATATATATATATATATATATATATATATATATATATATATATATATATATATATATATATATATATATATATATATAAGAGTGTTATTTAATTATATAAAAAACGTTGTTAATGATTTTAAGAGAGTTTCATTATAATACATTTACAATATAAATTTTATATTATCAATTAATTAAAAATATTAAAAAAAAAAGTTCTAACCCGTTATTAATGTAAGAGTTAATATTCCACTATAATAATTGGATGATTGAATAAAATAATTTTACACTATATGTCGTTTTGGTTAATTCTACTTAAAATTACTATATGTAATTTTCATATGTTGGTATATATAATCTTATATTATATAATACTTTGTTAAATTATTTAAAAGTAAAAAAATAAAAATATTTCTTCCACAGTAGAAAAATAGAATATATTTATTAGTTATTCAATAAATATCTCGAACATCTATAAATTACACCAATTTTTTTATTAGCATACGATTATAAACTTGCAAAGCCTCTAACAATTTAAGTGGAGTTAAAAAAATGATCTAGTTCTGAAAATTTATTTCTTTGTGCATCATCAAGTTGGTTGGTATATTATATTAGACTCTGTTGTTTCTAAGTGTATATGTAAATTCATCACCCCCTTATTTTTTTTAAGAGGTGATATTTTGATAACTAGATTTCTTTTAATCCTTCGGCCAACTCATTTTTATTAATATAATAATTTATCAAATAATTTAGTAAAAATAAAAATAAATTAAAACTATTATTATAACATCAAAAGAGAGTTGTTTATAAGAGTGACGTGGATTTAGGTTGTCAAAATATCATTTTTTCTTTTTTATTAATATAATAATCTATCAAATGATTTAGTAAAAATAAATTAAAATTATTATTATAATATTAAAAGAGAGTTGTTTATAAAAGTGATATGGATTTAGGTTGTTAAATAATCATTTTTCTTTTTGTGAGTTAGAAATAGGAAAGCTGGTTGAACAGCATAAAACAAACACAACCTGCATAATTTAAACTCTAGTTCTTTTCATCCATGCAATAGTTTTTCCCATGTATACTATTATAATATTTTAGAATAAAACAATTTTTTGCAATCTATCTCTGGAGTATCTTCATCCTTCAAGTAATACTGGATATTTAATGGTAGACATATTTATTCACCAATTAAATACCAAATACAATTTGAACTCATTCACTTGTATATGAAACATAAAGAAACAAGTCATACATTATTGATCATACTCAACATTTATAGTCAATTTCAATTTTCAACAGCTGATTTGATTGGATGGAACATATTTTCTGGTGTGCGGTCTTAATTTCCAGCTTAAAGATGCTTTGAATTTTCAAATAAATAGAAACAAAAATATCTATTAGAAAGTAGACTGATAAAAAAATGAAATAAGAAGTAACAAGCGTGAACGTTTAAAAGTAAAAATATGAATGAAAATTAATTTAAACATGTTGAAATATTATCGATAATTTAAATTTATACATGAACAGGTTTGCAGGCCAACCCTGTTCAGGAGATCAATGAGAAGGTTCAATGTTTCATGGGGGGCTTACTCCTTTCCCATTACAGCACTTGCTCTTGTTTCGACGGATTATGCAGAACAAGTCAAAGGAACTTTTTCGCACATCCTAATGCTCCTTCTGCTGGCTCTTTCAGTTCTTGTCTCTCTTGCTCTTACGTTCTTTACTCTCCTCAACTCTAACATGCTTCTACCCGATAACGATCCTATTATTGCAAGCTTCTTCGTTAACCCATCTGTTACCAACATAAATTATCACTAGAATATGCACATAACAACGTGATGTCTACAACAATTTTGTTAAAAACATACTATTATACAAAAGTTTCTTTAAACAAACTCTAAATCCTACAAACAAAATTTCCATTAGAGTATCTTTATATAAATAAAAGCTATAGTTTAAATTCTGTGATGTTTAGTAGTTTTATCATTATATATTATAACAGGTGAAGTATGTAAAAAAATAACTGGATTATTATTATTACTACTATTATTATGTATCTGACATTTGAACTGTACTACTAACTCCACCAACTACATAACCAGAAGAATTTACTGCTATTTCTCTTACTTAGAAAGTCATAAATATAGACTGTTAATTTTCTGCTTCATGTTATGTCAAAAATAGACACATTTACACTGAGAAACCAGAGGAAAAACAATATTATTATTATTATTTATTTATTTTCCTAAAGAATATATATGTTGCTTATCCCTTAGTCGAAACCTAAATTAAACGCGCATGTGATGTTTAAAAAAAGATACGGAAACGCAGAGAATTCGGAAGTCAAAAAGAAACCAATAGAAGCAAGATTGAGAGACATAGAACTGAGTACTGCTATGCATTACTTGTTTAATATAAATAGTGTACAAGTTTAGTTTCTTAGATAACAAATTTTAGTTTTCTTTTAAACCTCTTCCATTCATAAATATAGTGGTAAATTACCCGAGGACTATTCTGCTTATTAATCAATATCATAAATCCTTTGAAAAATCCACATTAAACTTTCAAAAATTCGTAAAAAGAAAAAAGCGAGTTGTTTTGAAATATTTAGGTTTTATATCTTTGCTTCATAATACGACACACGCAAAGTCCAAGAGAAGGAAGCGAAATCGCACAAGGAATAACTTGACAACGGTGTTTGCTAAAATATAAAGACAACCAAGTTCATGAATCTTGGTGTTGACAACGTTCTGATATTTTGTTGCAATAAATTAATTATGTCTTCTTTACCTAATTCGTTAATTCGAATTTATACGATAGTATCTTTTCCTTCATTTATCAGATCAAGCAACAAAGGTAGGTCCTTTCTTTAATCGAGCTATGAATACCACTTTTTTAAACTAATATATTTGTTCTAACATACTCAGCATTTTATTATAAGAAATAAATACCTAATTTAATAGCACAAAAGCTACGTGCTATTTGATTATTCTTTCGAAATGTTGGACGAATCAAGAGCTATATTTGAAGAGGAAATACAGCCAAAACTATAAACAAATTTAAAACATGTCAAAATCAAATGGATTAGGTAGAGTATATCATGTCAAAATCAAATGCAAATAAATTTTTGGTTTTTTCTATTATTTCCTTAAAAATGTTTCCTCTAACGTCATTTAAAAAAGTCGAAACGAAAAATAATTTATATAGACACTTCTTTTCAATTCTAGCTTTTAAATATAAAATTGTAAAGAACTAAAATTTCAAAACCAACAATATTTTTTATATTAAATTTGATTTTAATCATGATATAACATGATATTGCAACACTCTCCCAAGCAAAAGCTACATACAAAAATAGTTATTTATTTTTTAATTTAAATATATCTTCCTATTGATAAAAGTTTAAAACCTAATTTTGTAAAACCAAAGGGGAAAATGTGAATGGATGTTACGAAACTACGGGGAATAAAAACGTAAAAAGGTTGTTTAAATAAAATTATATAAAAAAATTACATTTAAGTATTTATCAATGAGTATAGATTTTGAAATTAGGAGTGAATAAAAAATGTTGTGTGTTTTGGGCTACAAAATTGTGAACCAATAAAATGTATGGTATTAGTTAGAGAGCCACATTCGTAGAACGAATTTGATAAGGTTTGGTCGGTGTAGCGCCATGGAGCTTGATTTGGTTGTGTATATCAATATATAAATTGCATATATTTTGCCAACATGTTATAAGAGATGAAAAAAAGGTTATGATATTTTTACCATCATTTCTTCTTATATAATTATTTGATATTTATTTTATAATAATAATATAATAAAAAAATATTATTAGTGTTTTATAAAAATTCTCAAATTAATATATGTAAAAAAATGAGTGTGAAAGTATATTTTTCATAAAATAATACATATTTGTCTATTTGGTCTCAAAATATTTTTATTTTGTATGTGATAAATTAATAATATAAATATTATTTTATTCTTATTTTTTTTTTAGCACCATAAAAAACTAATGTAGTAAAAAATACAGTATTATTTTTAAATAAAAAAAGATATATAAAAATAACTCTTTGGTCCCCACTTATGTCTAAAGCACAGATAAACAGAATATATCTCTATCACTAAATATTAAATAATAAACAAATATTATATCTGTTACTCTTTTGAGTATTAATTGTTTAAACTAATGACATACAGATAAAATATATTACTGATATAAGCATTTATAATAATCTTTAAATTTCGCCTTAAGGTTTATTTTCAGTTAAATCATTTATAGTTATCATTGATCCATTCAAAAATTTAAAATGTGATAGATTATAACTAGTCGAGGGTCAGTTGGAAAATATCTCTTAAGCTTCTTTGCTTTTTTTTTTTTTAATAGCTAATGATAATCTTGTAAAATAAATTAAACTATAAAATATGATTAAAAATAACTATAATTAGTTTAAATATTTGAAATGACAGATAAGCTAGTTTTGTAAAAAATAATGATTAAAAATAATAATAAAATTAAATGCATGTAACAAATTTTAAACCTTTGAATAAAACAATAAGAGTTTTATTGACAGTGGAAAATTTAGATACATAATGCATGTTGCAGTTTATCAATTTATTTCAATGGTGCAAAACGAATAAAAAAAAGGGTAAAAAGAGATAAAATAGTTTATGTAAAGTTTAAGAGGGAACAGATGAGGAGTTCAAAAATTGGTGTTGAGATATTGGAAATGACAACACTAGAAGGGCTGGATGAACAACGTTAACTTTTTTCCAATTTAGTGGGGCGTGACAAGGTAAAGCTTTTGGATGTTTGAACTTTAAATTGCTCTTTCACTTTCATTTAACACCTAAACCTAGCTACGAGTTACATAACAGGGGTACAAATAACTATATATATCTATGTGTAGAGCAATCTGTAATCTCAAGGATATAACGTTGCGTTCAACGCGGAGGCAACCCCTAACACGGAACTCTCTTATTATAGAAATCACAGTTTTTAATGGATTCACTCACAGAGTTTGTTTGCTTCAGATAGGACCCATTCAGACGGAAACTCCATGCCCACACACCACTCTTTTCTTTTTTTTCTTTTTCCTTCTCCAAATATATTATGCCTCCACTACTTGTTTCAAGGTAACAATTTTCACACCAATTTAACATGTTTTGCTTCTCAACACTTATGATTTCTAATTCAGTTTCTGATGCCACCACATTCTTAAAAATATCATGTTATATAGCATCGTACTTGGAAGAGTGGTTGAAATGGAAATGTTCTCCACCACTATTATACTTTGAATCGTTACAACACGTAGGCTTTTTTTATTTTTCAGAAAATAAAACATTCTTAGTTTGATTTTATGTGAAGAGTAACAAGATATTTATTAGTTCATCTAAAAAAATCAATAAGATATCCGCCATTTTAATACGTATATGTATATGAATTGTAATTTGATGGACTAAGAGAATGAGTAAAAAGAACAAATGCCGAACCATTTGAAAGTAAGGTAGCCCTAACAATGACCCAAACTTTTTATACATATATTTTTAGTATATAATTTTGAATATGTAACTTGATTTAAATATTTAAAAAAGAAGGTGTGAATAATAGAAAATAAGATGAGATGAATGGTTTATTATAAATGTAAAAAATAATGATTAAAAATGTTATGAGGGAGATAGAGAGAGAGAGAGAGAGAGAGAGAGAGAGAGAGAATGAGTAGTAGGAAGGAGTAAAAGAAGAAGTAAGGAAGAAGTGATGAGTTGCCCTAGGGATGGTGAGTGGGGAAGAAAGGAGATGATGGTTTACGGTTCCGTGACGGAGAGGGACGGAAAGTAAGGGTCCCCAGTGGGCACATGGGAGCGGCGTTGACGATGAAACGAGAAAGAGCACAGGACGTTTATGACAAAGCCTGCAATAGCTTTCGCTAATTTGGCAAAGAGCCCTCCCATTTGAGGCAATGCAGCTCCCCCCACATCCCCTTTCTACTTCTCTTTCCCTCATTAACTCATTATCCTATTCCTATTCCTGTTCCTATTGTCACTCGCAATTCGCAGAAGCAGATACAAAGAACCACCACAACCATAACCTTAAGCCATGGCTCGAGGAAAGATCCAGATCAAGAGGATAGAGAACACCACCAACCGCCAAGTCACTTACTCTAAACGACGCAATGGCCTTTTCAAGAAGGCCAACGAGCTCACCGTTCTCTGCGATGCCAAGGTTTCTATTATTATGTTCTCCAGCACTGGCAAGCTCCACGAGTACATTAGCCCCTCCACCTCGTACGTTCACCTTCTCATCACTTCTCTCTTCAATTCAATTCATACCTATTTTCCCAAACAAACCCTATACCTACCTATCTATCTATCTTCTCTCATGTCCTTTTCTTTTTCCAGAACAAAACAGTTCTTCGATCAATACCAGATGACTCTAGGAGTTGATCTCTGGAACTCTCACTACGAGGTTCTCTTCTCTTCTCTCTCCTCTCTCCTCCCTTTTTCTCTTTTCTTCAGATTTACTTCCAACTTATTTTATTTCTTCTTCTCCGCCAGAATATGCAAGAGAACTTGAAGAAACTCAAGGAGGTCAATAAGAATCTTCGCAAGGAGATAAGGTATATATTTTTCACTTTCTGTTTTTTCTGGATCTATATATATATATATATATATGTGCACTTTTTTATATATGTTTACTACTGCTGTTGCTCATGGCTTAGGCAGAGGATGGGAGATTGTCTAATCGATCTGAACATGGAAGATCTCAAGCTCCTCGAGGAAGAAATGGACAAGGCTGCCAAGGTTGTTCGTGAGCGTAAGGTAAAAATTATGTACCCCTATTACTTATATACGCTACTTTTTGCTTTTCTCTCACAAGTTAATTAATGTATATGCAGATATCTTAATTTAAAACTTGATAGTGTCGGGTAGCTATCTAAATATAGATAGGTAGATACATATCATGGAGGTACAGATTTGAGAGTGCTAGCCATTTTACCATCCAGCTTTCCCCGGGACATACCTCCTTGTTGAAATTTCATGCAAATAGATCAGTTCTTTAACTCTTTGTCATGTTCTTGGTGTACCTTAAAATGACTTTAAAAAAGTTACAAGATTATTATACCTAGTTATTCTTTCTGTGTCATACCAATATTATCAAAATTCTTAAGATAAAAAATCAATGGCACAAATGATTTCATACTAGAGTTTTTTTTAGGATTTCAGATTTAACGTTAACATGGAGTCGTCCGAAAGTACCATTTTACTTTCTGATAAGAAGACGATTGGTTGCATGTGAAATAAATACATCTTGGTTAAAAAAATTAATAACCAGGTAACTAGGTATTAAGCGATTATTTTTCTTAAGGAAATGTGACTTTTTATGTTTTAACCCTTGAAATGAAGAGTGTTTTAAAATTTTCAGAGTTGTACCAGAACTAGCTAGGTATATTTGCTTGCCAAGAGCAACCACGCTATCCTGTGGTGGTAACCTACGGAGCCCTCTCCTAGTATTAATATATTTCATATTTCTTTTATAACTTTTCATTAATTTTTTAAATCTGTCCAACAATTTCAATTGGTATTTTTTTTTATAGTTTAATGTAAGAGTACAAAGGAGTAAAAGCTTGTTTATGATGGGTCTGTTGATGGTTAATTAGTTATCCAATATTCAATTGGTTAGAGATATCAAACTTTGCTCAAATTTGGGGACCCCCTCTTCGTTCTTTTGGATTCATTGCCTGTGATGTTTGGATCTGACCAAGAACCACATGAGTTGGACTGGACACGACATCATTGGAAACTGTATATTTTTAATTAAAACTCGTAATTCTCAAAATTTGCTTATTTTCTGGGTAAAATTTCTTTCTATTGGTGAAGGCGTGCATGTATTGTGTCTTTTTCCTATTCTTGTTAATTTGAAGCTAGCTAGAGCAGTTCAATATTTAATCTGATCATAGTGATCGATGCTATTCTGAATGGCTGAATCTTAACCTGCTTGTTTGTCCACGTCGACAAGTCTCAAGTATAAATTTTACATAAAAAAAAAAAAAAAAGATAATACGAAACAATTTCTTTAAAAAGGCATGGAATTATAAATAAACCCACTTTTAATTATTAAAAAATTTAAGTATAGCATTAATTTGTTTTCATTCTTTTCCAATACTGATTACTTTCCTAATAACTTATTTTTATTTCCTTCTTATTTTCCCTTATATCACTTTTAAACCATACAAAGAAGCCCAAAATTTTGTTATATAGTTTAAGACACCGTAGATCCTATCAATCATTAACTATATATATAATTAAATATCATTTAGTTATTTTATTTTAGATTACAAAATTTAAATACATGCCTGGATGGGAGAACAAAGGTGATGGCTCACAATCCCAAACTACTTTCTTGATTGGTTCGAAACTTATGTGTAACATTTTCTGGGAAAGTTACTGGCACCAAGCAAGTGTTACTGTTGTCTACCGAAATTAAACTGTTGAATGTGATTAAAATGCACATACTTAAATTAATATTAGTGCCAAATTATTGTAGAACATGTGTACTGGAAAATGATTTGGTTAATGTTTAAAGGGACCCATATTGTGGTTGTGGTTCTGTCTGTTAAAAGATTTTGAATTTACTATACCTTACCATGCTAACGAGTTCCTTAATTGTGACAACTATTAACAGTATAAGGTGATAACAAATCAGATTGACACCCAAAGGAAGAAGGTAAAGTAGTGACATATTTTATTGTTTTCTTTTGTGATTGCTTCACTTCATTTTTCACTATTGAAATGTCTGCTTCCTTTTGTTTTAGTTTAATAACGAGAAAGAAGTGCACAACAGACTCCTGCGTGACTTGGTACGTATTTTATAGCATTCTTTGTTGTTCATTTTAGTAAGTGTAATGATTCCTAACTTATACACACCACACACAGTAAGAACAACAAAAGTAATCTTATCTTAGTGAGCAAGATTAGTTCACATATATGAACAACACAATTGCCAAGAGGGTTGATTAAAAAATCACACAATTAATCAGTTTTCAGTTATTTTTTCTTCTATACATATCACACTAATACTTCTTTGTATGCACACCTTGTTTCTCTAATGGTTCTTCTAATGTCCAATATTGACTGCATAATATATATTTGGTTTAACTTTGGAAGTTCCTTTGTTATTTATCAGTAACTTTGGCTTCATTTTATCATATGTTTACTCTGAAGCAAAAATCTCTTTGCATGAGTTTATGATATTGAATTCGAGAAATATTCTGAACGGGAAATGCTTTACTGTGTACTGTGTTAAAGGAAGCAAGAGCGGAAGATCCACGCTTTGCATTGATAGACAACGGAGGAGAGTACGAGTCTGTGATCGGATTCTCAAATTTAGGTCCACGCATGTTTGCCTTGAGCCTACAGCCAAGCCATCCTAGTGCTCATAGCGGACCACCCTCTGATCTCACCACTTACCCCCTACTTTTCTAGTACGCATCCATCCCAAAACACCACCTTCACTCAATTTTCAATAAGTAGTAGCATCTTAAGTTCTGTTTAAACTTTACTTGTATCCACAAAACAATCTCACCAATCTTCTCACTCCCATGCATGCATGTGTGAATTCAATTGCAACTCATCAACTGTTATTTCTATGTTACCTACTGCTATTTACCCTACTCATATATACCTCATAAACTACTGTCTGTATGTTACTTACTTCTGTGTACCCTAATCACACAAACATACCTGATGCTTCCTTTTATTCAGAATATGCTCAGCATGATCATTCTTAGATCCAATAGATATCCATTTCAGTGGTATCTTTGTTTAAGAGATTGGCCAAACTACACTCAACTACGAAAATATCTTGTTTTAGCCATAAAAAATTATACATATCTGCTGAATTTTTATATTCAATGATACACATGACTCTTCTACTTTTTAATCTTCTTAAATTTTAATAAAATGACAAAATAATTTCTTAAAGATATTCACCTTTGTATTTTTAAGAAATTTACGAACTCATCTTCTTATGGTTTTCGACCTTATTTTATTTTTAAAATATAATTTTTGATTAAAATTTAATTAAAATCTAGAAAAATTAAATTAAAGTTTTAAAATATAAAAATTTAAACTTGATTATAACTAATAAAATTTATCAAATATTTTATAACTAATTGCTTATTTTATATTGAATAATATTTTCTAAAGTATAAAACTTATATTTTATAAGATAATTTATAATTTAGTAACAATATAATTTTTTTCAGATACTTTTTATATATTATAATTAAATCGTTAAATATTGTATTTTTATATTTATTTAATTTTTATTTAATGTGTTATTTTTATTAAAATAAAAAAATAGAATATCATTTTATTAAAGTGGAATAAAAATAAAATAAATATTAGCATTTTGAATTTATTAAAAAAATTTAGAAACTGTGTTATTTTTTCTAAAAAATAAAATAAATTATAGTGTTTGGTAAGTCTTGGGCTTTAAATATTTTTATGATATGTTTTCTATTTTAATAATTCTGTGAGGTGATTTTCATTAAAAATGGAAATGAAAAGACTCATGGGAAAATAATTATATATATATATATATATATATATATATTATTAGTATGCAATTTTTTATATGTTTTTAAAATATTTTAATATATGTTTATTAATAGATGTGAAAATTAATAGGATGACTGCTAAAAAGAATTTGACCTATTTAAGATATTTAAGTTTAACAGACTTTGAATGATCCAAATATTACCTTTTAAATTAAAAAAGAATTTTATAAAAACCTTTAACCTAATTTATTTCCAAAACAAATTGGCTTCACATTACACCATGATCAGTTACCTAATAGTCTCATTTATTTACTAACATACGTTTTTTTATAATAAAAATAATGATACAAGTTAACGAAGTAAAAATCTTACTGCTACAAAAAAAATATAAAAAATATAATAATTTATCGTATATTACAAAATAAGATATTGCAACGCAACACATATCATATAACGTCACCATATTCATCTATTCTCAAAAGCCATCAACTTTTTATTCTTTAATTCATAAAATTAAAATGTTATCATATAAAGATTAAAGTTAATGAGTATACATTACGATTAAATAATTTAATTAAATATTTAACCCTTATAAATTTTGATTTTGTATAATTTAGTTAGTGATTTGTTTATATTTACTGTAGTGATTTTATAATTAAAATAATATATTTAATATACTTTAAAAATATTAAATATTTTTTTTAATAACTCCAGTTATATTTTAATAATCCGTAACGAATAAAATACTCAACTATACATCTACTAAATGATTATAATCAATATGATACTAATGATTTGAATCTTTAAATTGATTGATTTAAGTAATTTATAAAATATTAAATTAAAGTCATACAAAGTTAAATTTGTTTTATAAAAATAAAAAATGGTAATATGAATATATACTTATATTAAACCTTGCCACATTATAAATTATCTTATGTTAGTAAATTATATTAATAACTACATCATTCATAAATGATACGATTTGTAATTTTAATTATAATTATAATATATACATGCATATTATAAATATAAATATTTTTTAGATTAACAAAATCTTGTTTTGGTTAAGTGGAGAGTATCTATTTGATGAGGTTGCATGATCTTCAAAAATGATATTCTTAAATTCGGGGTTGATGGGAGCCTTCTCAAAATTTTCTCTCATTTTAAAAAGTTTTTGAATTATTATCTTTACTACATAGTTATTAATTAAATGTCACGAATATGTCTCTATTAAAGATTTATAGGATAATTACATGTTTACATAATAAAATTATCAACTCAATCTTAAATTTATTTAATCTCAATTCATTAAAATCACTTTATATATTTATTTATTTATTTATTACACATTATCGATAACTTAAAATCTAATCCACTCATTAATTTTTAATTATAATTTAACCTCGCATGATCTAACTTCCACCAACTCGATAATAACACTATATGTTTAATTAATGCAAATAAAAAAAAATTCCTTGTTATAATTTTAAAGAGACGAAACATTAAAAACCATATTTATTTGCACATAATTAATTAGTATAAAGACGATTATGACATCAAAGACCTACAAAATTATGGTTTCAACAGATAAAATAATACTAGAATTAATTTCACTTTTTTATGTTTTACAATTTAGTATTTTTTTTCTATAACAATTTCATTTTACGAGGTTGTCTCCTAATTTATAAAACATGACAATTAATATAATTTTTTTTGGGAATATGATTATTTTTTTAAATGTCATAATTGGTACAAATTACATTTTCTAAAAATTTAGTAGTAAGTTTTGTAGGAATAAAAGTTAAATTTCCGAGCTGTAAAATTTTAGAAGTAAAATTGAAATCTGTGTGAAAAAAATAAGAAATAGTGTAATTACGCTAAAATTGCAGAATGGACGACTTTTACCTTATGATTTATGAATTTTATATATATATATATATATATATATATATATATATATATATATTGTTTAAAATGAGATCTATTATATTAGTTTAATAGTTATTTAATTTGAAAAACTCTGTCGAATAATGTCAATTAGAAAATTCCTTTGTTTCCATTAACTAAAAAAAGTCAATAAGGAAAACAAATTATTCACCAGGTAAATAGGGATAAAGTTCACCAAAACCATCATATTTTGAACCGTATAAAAAGGAATAACTAATAACATGAATTAATGTGTAAATATTCATTTTATTTTGTTGTACATATTTAAAATATTTAATAAAAGAATATAGTAAAAAATTTATTTTTAATTTTTTTAACTCATGAATAAATGGTTTTTATGTTTTATAAACACAAACTTTGATGTAATTTAAGAAAAAAATCACTATTTTATTGTATTTTTCACTTGTATTAATAAAAATAATTAATATATCTCATTGAAATAACTTTACTAAATTAATATTACGTTTTTACTGAATAAGAATACTTTATCTTTTATAAAAATAAGATGTAACTTATTTAAAGGTAAATTAAGAAAAAATTTAATATTTCATTTAAAATATAATAAATTAAACCAATTTAATATTTTAAAAGGTATTAATTACAGGAGTGTATAATTTAAATGAAAACGGAAAAAATGTGTAGTTTTTTGTGACGATAACTGAAAGATAAATATATTTTGTATTTATGTTTATTTTTATTAAAACTAAAAGCATGGCTCAAAAAGGGTCGACGAAGTGAAAAAGAAAAATCCCGGTCAATCGTAACAAACAAACGCGGTTTCTTTCTTGCGGCTTAAAAGGCTAAAACCCTCGTATTCTACAGTACAGAGCGTTGCACGAAAAGTGTGACACACACACACACAACATTAGAGGTTTTGGGTTCGGAGTGAGACAGACGCACACCAGGACGAGGCCGTGACGGAGGCGGAGACTGTGCTGAGCGACTATGGGAGCTCTGGCTACATTAGCTCCTTGGATTCCCGAGGACGATCTTTTGCTCAAGAACGCCGTTGAGGTTTTCCATTTTCCCTCTATTCGCTTTCAATTTCCGATTTATATCCATTTCCTTTCTCTTGTATTCTGCTACCTTTTTCCAGAATCATGTTCCTCTAATTTAAGTTTGAACACTCTCTTTTGCTTATAGCTTTTTGTTGCCCGTATACCAATATACTCCGATTTATCTGACAGACAATAATACTCATAGTCGTATGTAAACTAAACCATGGAATGGGCTTCTACATTACTTGTAGTTTAGTTTTTTTTTTTCTAAATAAAAGAATTAGTTCCTAGAGAAAAGTTGCTAACAAACACACATTGAATATTGGATGGATCTATTTGTTGTTCTGGTTTTCATTTTGAAGAATATTTCAGGATTCATGTTTATGTTTAAGTTTAAGTTAATGTTTATCTTTTAACTTGTAGGCTGGTGCTTCACTAGAGTCACTTGCTAAAGGTGCAGTGCAATTTTCTCGAAAATATAATATTAGAGAGATACAGGATAGATGGTATTCTCTCCTCTATGATCCTGTCATTTCTGCGGAAGCTTCTACGGGTATGACAAACTTTGAGCTTTCAGCTTCGCCTCTCCCATCGAAATTCTATAGGTTTGGACATTCCAAAGAACATAAAGTTGTTTCAGCTAAAAGAAAGTCTGAAAGTGTTCGCAATTTGTATTATGCTAGGCGCAAAAGAATTCGCAATAGCATATTAACCTCCATGGACTTAAGTTTTCTAGTCGATCCGGTAAATGGTAATTATGCAGAGCATGGAAGTGACGACCCCTTGTCTGGAAACTGCATGCCTGAAGGTGGAACTTCAAATCATTTTTCAAATCTCCCAGCTCAGTATGATTTTCCTTGTGAAAATGTGATGGATGATAACGTAGCTTCTGATGCCGGTGTGTTTTTCCCTGGAGTTGAAAATGCAGTTGAAAAGAATTTGCCTGTCAAACTAAAGAGTGTGTTTAAGGAAGAACCTCAATTTCTTGGAGACAATGTGCCTTTGGATGGAGCTGTTGAGGAGTTGGATGTTCCTAGAGAATTGACCATAGATGGGTGGATTGGAGACAATGATTTAGAGACAATGCCTTTGGCCACATTGGATCACATCAACAGTGCCCCTGGAAATATGTGTCCTGATTTTGATGAAAACAATGTATTTGATTCATCGGAGTTAGAGTGTGGAACATCGTTTAACTTATCTTCTCTTCCTGAAATACCAGTCTGGAGTATAGATGAGGGCATTCAAGAACCTGATATGCCATGCGATGGTTTTAACGATTCTACTGCTTGTGGGGAGGCTTATTTGGAAGAACTGTCCAATTCTCTCCTCAACTTCAGTAGTGAGGAAGAACTCTTTCTGATGGATGTTGATGGAGAAGAAGGGATTGACAAGTCTTACTTTGATGGTCTGAGTTCACTCCTAACTTCTACAATTGATGCTAATCCAAGTCAAGTCCCTAAAAGGGATGAAACAGAGTCGTTAATGGCCTCACAGGCACATGTTATAAATCAGCCAGTTTCATGTAGCAAAGAGGTAGATGACAACCCAGGGTCAGCCGCTAGTGGTGTACAAGTAGTTCACAAATTAGAGTTCCAATTATCATCTCCTCCCTTGGTTGAAGACCCCCAATTTCCTGAACTAACTAATGAAGTTTCTTCCTGTTCACTGAACACTGAGGAACAAGAAATTCCAGATAATGAAGATGTTTTCCTACCATTTGATGTTCCTCCTGTCATATTTCCCCCTTCATCTAAACTAATTTTTAAAGCTTCCAAAAAACCAATTTCATCATCTGTTCAGGATTATGGATTTAATAAGCATAGAGCTAGTGAAAGGGGTAAAACTTTGATGCATGTAGAAAAGAAAACCCGTGTAGAATCTCATGCATCTTCTCAGATGACGGGATCTCTTTGCTTCCCAGGACCTGATGGTGGTTCTAAGGCAAAATTTGAGTTGCCTGGTAATCATCCATCACACGCAGTATCTATGAGTTCTGTTACTGTTCCTGGTCGCTTTGGTGGAAATGATACTGCAAACACTACTAATGCTCTTCTGCATGCAAATAAAAAGGAAGAAGCTACCAATGCTGGCTTGGCAAAGGATCCCAGCAATCGTGTGGCTTATCCTTTCGTTAAGAAATCAGCTGCTGATTCTAATGACTCAAGAAATCATGCCCAACTTAATGGTTCTAGCATAAAAAGTGAACAAGATTTAGCTTTGCCACTTCAAGATCACCAGTTGCAATGTGCTGAAGTGGGATCCTCAGATGTTCTTGAGTCAGAGCTGGTGGCAAATCCTCCAACATTAGACGAGGAAGAGCAATATATAGAGAGTGACGATGAGCTTCCTTCTTATTCTGATGTAGAAGCGATGGTAAGTTGTATATCACCAATATTTCTGTCAACAGTTAACTTGGCCTTTTCCATACTCATTCTTCCCTCCTACAGGTACTTGATATGGACTTCGATCCTGATGATCATCAGGATTCTTCTTATAACGAGGAAGGTAATACATAGCCATGGATTGTATTTACTGTACTCTGTTTTTTATTATTCTTTTTTTTATGGAGAACGTCCCTAAAATAAAGTGACGACCCAACTCGTATGGGAGCATGCATCAGTTACTTGGGTTGTTAACAGCTTCTAAGGGATTCCTTATGATTGCCCTTATTTTTGCATGATGTCTTCACAAATTGCAAAGTAAAGATAAAATGTGAGGCATTTTGGGGAGAGGGGATTGAGGCATTTTTTGTTTTCCAAGATGTTGCAATACTTTAATGTTCTTTCTAATGATTTCCAGTTCCTTGTTAAAGTAATAATGGGTCTGCAAGTCAGTTGCATAATATATGGAATTTGTTGAACTTTACCAAATATATCCATTAAATATGCTTATGGAACCTGTTGAGTATTGTTTTGATTATTTTGATTATAATATTCACACTAAGATCAATGATAGCATATTAATTTTTCATTGTTACTGTCACTATCTACTTTCTTTTAGTATAGCCTAACAATATATCTTCTGATTGCAATTTAGTATCAAGATATCAAAATGTGGAAAGTAAGCGAGCTATTATGAGGCTAGAACAGGGTATCCATTCTTGTATTCAGAGAGCTATTGAAGCACATGGAGCATTTGCCATTTTATATGGTCGCTACTCAAAGCATTATATTAAGAAACCTGAGGTATGTGAGCATGTAAACTGCTTGCTTAATCAACTTGTCATTTGAGGGATCTTTTTCACCTATTCATTTAAAATATCACATGCATTTATGGATACACACATATTTGGTTGTTTCATTCAGATTGTGCTCCTGGCTTCAGGCAGCAATCTGCTTGTAAATATTGAGTGAGTTTTGTGATGAAAGTCAAACAATGAGGGAAGTATTAGTTGGACAGACTTGTTCTGCAATTATAAGCATAAATGTGTTTAGAAAAGAGCCCTTGACGGGGATAATTTTTTTTAACATTTAAATTACATTAAGGATATTGGATAATGCTTTAATGATGGCTCAATTTCTGCAGGTTCTTCTTGGACGAGCAACAGAAGGTTTTCCTGTGGACATTGACTTGAGCAAAGGAGGGCATAGCAATTCAGTATCTCGACGTCAGGTTAGTCATATTTACCTACTTAAACTTGAATGTCAATGCTGCAGCAACTTTTTGCTGAATTTGATACATTTTGATAAAAACATGCATAATGAACCCTCAGTTTCAACTTGTTAATAACCTCAATAAGATATACTATCCTCATAAAATGGCAGAATTATAATATTTTTTTCATTTCTAGTTTGAGATACTAAAAGTTCAAGATAGACAGTTAGGTGTTGTCTTCACTACCAAATGAATTTGACTTAAATATATTCTGGTTTCCCCATGTGAACTTGCAGGCAATTATAAAGATGGATAAAGAGGGATCATTTTACATAAAAAACTTCGGCAAGAGTTCAGTCCTGGTAAATAGCAAAGAAGTGCACACTGGTCAGTCTCAAAGACTGCATACTAATTATCTGATTGAGGTATGATGGGTTCCTTTCATTTCCTTTACTTCTTTCTCATCCAGTTTAGTTCTCACCTCCAACTATTCCTTGTGCACTCAGCATTTGATTATGTTCCAAAACAAAATTATTATTTCCTACATATCCTATTCAGGCCTCCCAATCTACGTGTTCTCACTATATCCTTTTGTTTCCCATTCTTGTTTCCCGTTTAGCTTTAAACTCAGTATGAGTAATAGGGGTCTATCATTATCCTTATTGATTAAGTTTTATTGTTTTCATCTTTGTATGTTCTTGCCCATCTGTTGAATCCTTTTGATTTGATGCTGCTAGAACAGTCTTTTCGTGCTAAGTATCCCAGATAATGCCTAATGACCAAGTTTCTGTATTTTGCATTACAACATCTTTATTTTTTTTATTTTTTTTAAGAATTAGGAAAGTTTTAGATTTCACTAAATTTAATTTTGGGAATTAAGTATGCTTGGACATTTTTAGGTGTTGTCTTCTAATTCTATTTATCCGAGAATTCTTCAGAGTTTCTTTAGTCAACTTTTCAGAAATCTCAAAATTAATGGTCTATTTTGTAGGTGAGGGGCATACCGTTGATATTTGAGGTAAATCAAAATCGGGTGAAGCAGTACCTGGATCACATTTCTGACAATTCACAGACCTTTTAGTGTTGATTGTAAATGAAGCAAGAGCTCCACTAACACAGAAGGTGCTTATTTTTACTGCACTTTCTGATTTTTGGTAAATGGTAAGCAGTGACCCAATTGTTGTATGTCATTGCATTTATTGGTGAACTCCTGTTACCCCGGAATGAATTTCTTTTGCCCGCCAAAGTAGATAATTCAACCCAAAAGTTCTGTTATATTACATGGTAAATTTATCAAACCCTGAAAGTCCAAAATGAATATCATCACCACCCTGCATTCATTTTGGAAGTTGTAAAGAGGACGCATACTCTTTATTTTGGCCTCTGGTTCATAGGATACATAATCTTTGAAGAAGCAATTCTAATTCATTTATTTATTATGGTTTACCTTTGAACCTTTTATTTTTCCTTCTCTGGCTTGTAAAGTATAAACAACGACCTGTCATTTGTAATTTTCACTTTTAATTACTAATATATCATTTATTTATTTATTTTGTTTTGAGAATTTTATATAGTTTAGTAGCAATATTTTGTTTTTCCTCTACCGACTTCAAAAAAATTGCAAATATAAATGATTTTTCAAACCAAATAATATCTTCGGAACTTTTAATAGGGGAGGACTCTAGTTTCTATATTTTTTGCTAATGAGAAACTTAATACTTATTATTTTGGAAATTGAAAATTTTCTTCTTTGATTTAAAATATACATATTAAATCAAATTGAACAAAAAAATTATAAAAAGTAAAAATATATTCTATAGTTTTAAAAAGCGAGTAAGTAATTGTGAACATATAAACTTCGTGTATTTTTTAATCTTTACTAATAATTTTTTTTAAAGGACTCAAGTTTAGAAAAAAGTTCATATATCTTAAAAACTAAAAAAAAAAATTTCAATCGTTACTAAATTTATATAATTTAATGCTTCGATATTAAAGTTCTTTGCCTTCTCAATTCTGACAAATTATTTATTCAGAAAGTTTATTAGTTGTATATATAAAATTACTACGAATTACCATTGTTTCTTCTTTATCAAAATTAATGTTATGCTATATATGTTTTAACTTATGTAATTCAATAATAGGCTTGCTTTCTCAAGACTTTTTTTATCAGTAGATTTTTTTATCATAATTTATTGAAATTAATCAGAAGTTGAAAAAAAAATATAATTAAATTTTATTTTAAACGTGTCATAAAATCAATAACTTCTTAAAAAAAAATTTTTTATCATGAACAAAAATAAAGCTAACTTTTTTTAAAAATTTCTAAAAAAAATACTAAATTATACTAACCTCACTGCTTTTTTATATTAAACAAATTGGTCCAATATATATATATATATATATATATATATATATATATATATATATATATATATATATATATATATATATATATATATACACACGTAAGATTTGGAATTGCCATGTTCTTGGGAAGAAACATAACATATTAGAATATGTAGGGTCCCCCTTAACTAAACATGGTGTCCAGAGGTATCAATATTCCTGGTCAAGGTCAGAGATCCACCAAATAAGGGGTGGGCGAAGATGTTGGATCGTGTTCATATTCCAAGCATCCCTTTCCATAATGCATATATAATCACTCCGTTTAAGATATTTAGGATTTGAATCTTACTAATAATAATAATAATAATAATAGTTATTATATTACAAGTTGTTTTTCCTGGTTCATTCTCATTGGATTACTGTTGAACTTATACTTGAAATAACATGTTTTTCTTTCTATAGACATAATTTATACAATATTACAAAATTAATAGTTGAAGATTAATATGTGTTTATATAATTTCCTTTTCAAATGTTATTTTAATAGTATAAAAGAAACATGGTGTAAAATATATATATAATAAATTTCTTGATTTTTATAATATTTGTTTAAATTGGTTTAAACAGTACATTGTAAAACAATTTCATTTTTGACAAAATTATAATAAAAAATAATAATTCAAAGACAAAAATAGTTAATAAAAATTCATTAATTATAATAATCGGTTATAATGTACAGTGAAATATTAGTGAAAATTTATATACGATTAAATTATTGTTATAATCATTGATTACAAATATGACTTTGTATAAACAATTCATTATAATTATAATAACTGGTCTTAAATGTTATTTGATCCTTAATAAATCAATGAAAAATTTCAACCACTTTGCTTTCAATTATCTCATGGTTTTATTTTATTATGTTCATTCTGTTTTGTTTCTTAGCTTTTATTTCACTTTGTTTGAGATCAAAGACTGAGGTTGATCTCCTTTTATTTATTTATTAATTATCTATATTTGTAATTTTTTCATATATAATATTTTATTTATTTTAATATTTTATTTTCCCTCGTATAATTATATGCTTTTTCACTTTTGTTCACTATAACTAATAAAAAAATATTATTTTTCTCTAAATATTCTCAATTACATATTTTATGTAATTTCTCTCTTCTTAAAATACCATAAATTATACGTTTTTTTTTTATTCTTTTCTTTCTTATATTAAGTTATAAATAAAAGTACTATTTTAGAAAAACATAATAAAAAATATGGATACAAGTGTACGAGCGTCTCTATTTCCGATAAGTGGATCATTAATAGAAACCTCCCGCAAAATAGGAAATTATTAATCTAATATTCATTGGGATAAGCCCTTATGTTAGTATTTGATTTTATTAAAAAAAATACTTATATGACAAAAAAAACAATTAAATAGACAATGTTTCATCTAAACAAATAAGATAATTAACTGCTTAAAATTTGAAATAAAATAAATTAAACCATTGTATTTAATTTGAAAGTTGATTGACTATAAATAATAATTATTATTATTATTTTTTTTAATTTAATTATTTGCATTTTCAACACTATCAGAGAAACCGTGTGCACACACATTATCCATAATCAGAGAGCTACTCTACTACAAGATTAGTGAGTTAATTTATTGATTGTTAATTTAAATTCTGAAAATTATATAAAATGTAAAAATAGTTGGAAGATATATCCGTCAGTTGATTTATTCATTGTTAATTAAACTCCTGCAAATTATATAAAATGTAAAATTATAGGATTTCAGGAAACTTAAAAGAATTAAGATAATTTATATTTATTTTTCTATTAATCTATTATAATATTTTTTTAAATAAAATGATAACAAATTAAAATTTTAATTTTAAGTTTTCACTATAATTTTATTTTTAAAGATAATTTAGTAAATTGAAAAGAAAAAAAATATAAACTATTATAAAGAATAATATATATAAATTATTTTTAATTTAAAAATAAAATCCGTACAAGCAATAATAATTAATAGGGTTATTTATTTATACAAGTGTTGGGTATGATGATCTCTTATTGTGCATGTCCTAACTCAATAATAGTATTGAGAAGATGCAACGGTGGGAAGTTTACTTGTAAACCTTTCCATGTTTAAAAAAAATGACATTTTAAATCAATTGCTGGAGGAATATTAGAGTGACTCATAATATCTTTTAAAGTAAAGTCTAAATAATTCAATTTGCTTATTTTAAAAATAAATATTATGAATATGAATGCATTGTTTATGAAGTGTTACATATAATTCTTTTATTTGAAAGGATAAAGATTGATTTGATGATGGAAGTGAATCAGATGGTATATTAAGATAAAGATTTTAAAAAAAAAAATTTGATGATAATTTTTTTTTATACTTAAATCTTACATTAGAAAAATATGAATTTTTAGTGAAGATAGTAAAATTTGTAATAAAAAATTTCATTTTTGTATGATTATAACAGTGATATAAATTGTTTATTATCATAAATGATTAACATTGTGAAGATTCGAAAATATTGTCAATATTTGAATCTGTTCAACGTAAATTTTAAATTAAAAAAAATTGTTATCGTACAAGTCTCGTGTTAAGTAAAGTTGGTATGCCAACGTTTATTTTAATAGAATAATTAAAATAAAAAATAAAATAATTATTTTTAATATTTAATTTTAAATGACTATAATTTTATGTTCTTAATCTATGCGTCTATTTATTTGAAATGAGATAATTTAAATAAATTGTTATTTGTGCACACTTGGCACACTCTTGTGAATTGACGAAGTTGATTAAGCACAGGTGATATAAATGCGTAGGGTAGCGTGTAACATAACATGGCATGGATCTTCAAATGCGATAATAAATACGAAAAGATTAGTCTATAAACCTACTTATAAAAAAATCCATTCATTATTTTTTGTTTTTAAAATAATTTTAAATTAGGAAAAGTTAAAAAAAATTCTATTTAAAATATTTATAAAAAATATTTTAACTTTTTTAATTAAAATTAATAAAATGTATTTTTTATATTGATTAATAATTTTTATTATATCACTTTTTCATTATAAAATTATCAAAATCATCTTTAATTTTATCGTATTTTTTATATATTATGTTATTTTTTATTTTAAATATTTTTTTAAATTAAAATTATCAAATATTTTTTTAATTTTATTTTAAGTGAGATTTTAATATTTACAAATAATATTAAATCTAATAAATCCTTAGATTTTTTTTTCATTGCTTTCATTTTCGCATCCAACATGGAGTTCTGACTCGCTGGACTCGTTTTGTTTTTTCTTATTTCAACTCAATTTAATTTTGATAGTATTCATTTAAAATCCTAAATATTTAGATTATATATAACAATTTATTAACAAAATAGTTTAGTGGGATATTTAATTAAAATATTAGTTATTTGAAGATTTTTTTATTAAATGAGTTATTGATAATTTACTTAAATTGTTTTATAATTATTTCATTAAATAATTTATAAAAATAAAATAGATAAAAAGTATGACATAATAAAAAAAAATTATTTAAAAAAATTAATAATAAATTATTTAAAAATGAAGAAAAAGATACATATATACCTAACATTTAACACGTATCTCATGTTCCTCAATACTCCAAACAAAACAAGTAAAAAAAGGTACTCCAAACGTGTAGCAGACTTCCCAAACATTAAAAGCTTACTGTAT